GGTTGATCAAAGGTTACCACACACACGAGCCCTCAGATCGCTCCGTGATTGGCTAGCTGGCCACACTCGTGCCGTAAACGCCACAAGTTTTTCCCTTCCCCGCTTCCTCCGCATCCATTCGAAACCTACCGCGCGACAAGAGGGCCAGACTGCGGTGGCCTCTGGTTGCGACCTGTGCGGGCTTGCGCCTTGGGACAAACTAGCGCGGGGGCGCAAGTCCACGTCAGTTCCTTCCAGCTTCCCCAACCGCGAGGGGCCGTTTCCCCGCAGTTTTTGCGAGCACTCGTGTGTTTCTGCCCTTGCAGTTCTCGCGCGCACTTCCGCGCCAGCGCTCCTCCTGTCCAGCTCCTTCTGGGCAGTGCTGCTGCGGTTCGAGAATCCAGAATCCGCCGTTGCTGCGGGAGTCCGCCCGATCTGCGGAAAAGGTGTTGTTTTGTCCATCAAGACTCAAGAATCAAGTTCCCCACCACTTCCCCCCATTCCTCCTTCCCCCCCTCCCCCCTTACTTTTTCCCCATTCCGCATCTGCATTTCCTTCCCCCCATCCCTCGCTCGCCCCGACCAGCTTCCCCCAGCTGCCCGCCCCTCTCGCGCTGACTGATTAGGCAGATCGAGTCCAGATTGAACGTCTATTGAACAGCGGGCTCTGGATTCCACTATAAATAGAGTCTTACTTCTCCTGCCCTAGTATGTACAGCATTAGAAACCTTCCTAGCCCAACCAAACCTGATCATCGCACCTTACCTTCGCTCCAGCGCTTGAGCCTACAAACCCCTTGCATAGTTCGCTTTGTTACCGCGAACCGACCAACCGAGAGCGTTTGTTGAGCTTCCATATCGAACACGACTCTTTGACCACCCAACACGTCCAATCATGGCTCTTACCGCTGGAACGACGACTGCTTGCCTGTCTACCGTGCGTGCGCTTAGCAGCTCTACCACAACATGCGCTTCCCACGGCCCCAGCTCGCGACAGCTGCACGTGCCGCAGGGTTCGCATCTCAGACTGCCACGTGGCGACACCACGGCAGTTTCCGCGATGATCGGAACCGGGCTTGGATCAGCTCGAGCTCTTTCGTCTAGCTTCGTAAACGTTGAACAAAGGGGATTGCCCTCTCTGCAGCAATCTATTCGTCGCCGCCAACTAGCCCTCCGGACTTCACGGCATGAAGTGCGGGCATCCGTCGCAGGAGATAGAAGTGATTGCTCGCGCGAGGATGTAGCGAAGGATTCGGTCCCCTCGGACCCCCCTGCGTCGCGGAGCGGAGGCGGCACCATTCTCGGTGCAGTCACGCTCATTATTGGCTCGTCCGTCGGCGCGGGCGTTCTGGCCTTGCCTTCCGAAACCGCTCCTGCGGTAAGTAAAGGACCTCCGCCCAGGGGGTCGGGTTGAAGGGAAGGGGAGGAAGGGAGGGGAGGGGGTAAAGGCGGGGGGAAATAGGGTGGGGGGTGGGAAGGATGGCGAGTAGGGTTGGGGGGGCTGAAGTGGGTCTTCCTATTCTATTATTTTCTCTTGTCCGTTTCGTTTCTGATTTCTTCTTTCTTTCTGCTCGTGCTTCTGTTGTTTCAGGGCTTCTTCCCCTCGTCCATGGTCCTCATCGGCTGTTGGGCTTTCCTCGTTCTCGAGGCGCTGCTGCTGGCCGAAGTCAATGTCGCTCTGCTCAAGGAGCGGTCCGATAAGAGCAAGACCGCTAACGCGTCTTCGTCATCCGATGCCGAGGCTGAGCGAGGGTCGGACGTTCTCTCCTACCGAACCATGGCCGAGGCGACACTCGGGCCGCTGGGCGGCACGATCGCAACCGCGGCGTATCTATTCTTGTCGTTTACGTTGATGGTGGCGTATTTCGCCAAGGGCGGCGAAGTGATGTCGTTGGGGACGGATCTGCCGCGTTGGCTCGGTGCATCGGGGTTCGCAGTGGTGCTCGGCGGTTTGATCTACTGCGGAAACACGCGCACTGCTGACCTGGTCAACCGAGCTCTGACCGCCGCCCTGCTTGGTACGAACTGGTCCTTCGTGTTTGAAAGCGACCGCGCATTGTTGTTTGTTGTGTTTCATCTGCCCAGTTTGAACCTTCCATGATATGACACTGGGCGCTCATGCTTTTCCACCTTCTACCTCTTTCCTTTGCTTCCTTCTCTCTCAGGAATCTTCGCGGCCCTGGTTTGCGGAGGCTCCACCCTCGCCGACTGGGACCAGCTGGGCTTCGCGGATTGGTCCGACATGTCATCCACGCTCCCCGTCATCTTCCTCGCGCTCGTCTTCCACGATCTCGTCCCCGTCCTCTGCGCGTACCTCGACGCGGATCTCCGGAAGATCCGCACCGCGCTCCTCGTCGGCAGCTCTGTGCCGCTCGCGATGTTTCTAACCTGGGATGCCATTGTGCTCTCCATCTCGCCGTCCTCCATCGCCGCCGCCGGCGCCGCCGGAGCCGCTGCCGGCGCTAACGCCGGGGATCTCGCCTCGTCCGTCCTCTCGTCCGTTTCCGCCGTTGGATCTTCGTTCGCGAATCTCGCGTCGTCGTTCCCTACGTCTCTAGCGACCGCGCTCTCAGCCCCCGCGCTTCCAGCTCTCGCGTTCCCCGCTCAGGACCCCTTCCAGCTGTTCATGCACCAGGCCACCCCCCTCCAATCAGCCGCCGTTCTCGCGTTCTCTTTTCTAGCCGTTGCCACGTCATTCCTCGGTTCCTCGCTCGCCCTATCGGAGTTTTACATGGAGCAGATTGGTAACTTGGTTTTCGGCGGGAAAGCCGCGGAGACCAAAGCGGAGGATCAGTTGCAGAAGCAACAGGAGGGTGGTACTAGCGGGGTTGATATTAAGGAAGCCGGATTAGGGTTCGTTAGGTCGCATGTGAGAGAGGTGGGATTCCTTCTGGCCCTCTGCCCGCCTCTCGCGGTAGCTTTGGCGAATCCGGGGGCGTTTGTTGCGGCGAGCAAGGCGGCAGGCGCATACGGCATGACGGTATTGTACGGAATTTTGCCGCCCCTGATGTTCTATATGCATCACAAGCAGAAGGCGGAGAACGAGGCTAAGGCGACCGGTTCGGCAGGAGGTTCGTTCTGGGTGCAGCCAGGTGGCAGCCTCGCGTTGGCCAGCATGGGCGGGTTATCGTGTGCTGTGATCGCGGGTCAAGCGGTGATCGATGCATCCGTGATTTCACCTGGTTCGCTCGCTTCTCCCCAACCGTCGATTGTTTTGGCCCAAGGCGATCGTGATTCCATGGCTGACATTCCCTCTAGAAGCCAACTCACTATGGCGACAATCCGAAGCCCGGTTGCGGCTGGTACCCTCGAGGCTCCTCCCCTCGTTTACGCTAGCCAATCACTGGCTGCCAGCTGCATGACCGCCCCTCCAACCTCTGATCTCCAGCACGATGCGTTCTTGAATCTTCGGGAGTCTGCCTCGACGAACCCCATGCTGGCTCCGTTACCCGTTTCGCACTCTTCACAGTGCCTGACGTTCATGATGTCAGACCTTGACGCGTTTGATTCGACACAGGAGTCCCTGATTGTGGACATTTGAAGGTGGAGGAAACTGTAGAAGCGGGTGCATAAGCGCCTGCAAGTGGCTTCGTGATTTGTTGAGTAGTTTGCTTGTACAGGTAGGTTAGAGCGTGATGTGCAAGAGATAGGCAAGTAGGACCCTGCATTGAAACACTTCTTGCCCTGTACATATCAAAGTGATCTAATTTCAATTATTTACTGTTCCAACAGCAATAAAAAGATCACCATTGGCAACCACCTGAAGCATACAGCCTCTTCTACATCACAATACATACATCCATCTCAGATATTTCGCTGGGCCTGAAGTTGTAAATTAACTCACATTCTTGTTCTCCAATTCCCAAATTTTAACATTTTACCATGTACTGTGAAGGTGTACTTATCACATGTGAACATTGCAACCACAACTAAATGACTATCAAGCACAACACTGATGACACTTCAGGTGAGAACAAGAGCAAAACATGCTTCATATCTCAACAACACTTGGACTGTCAGGCAAAGGCATGTGCAGGTCTGACGTGTCAGGAGCAGATTGGCTCGCGAACACAAGAGGCGGGTTGACCGCACGAGCATTAGCAGCTACAGCAGCTGGGCTGTTTGCTACTGCTGCTGGGCCAGAGCAAGAAGCTGGGTCGACACTACTGCTGCTGCTGCTGGGACTGTTACCGCTGTCGTTGATGTGGTTGTTGTTGTTGCTGCTGCTGCTACTGGTGGTGCTGCTTACGATGATATCGCCACCGCTGTTGGCACCCACTACAGAACCACACTGCTGTGCGCTGTTATCCAGTACCGAGTCGCTCTGAGCGAGGACAAACGATGCTCCTTCCCCACGCGACGACAGGAAGGAAGTGTCAAGGGAAGAATCGAGCAGGGCTTGCCCCGCGATGACGGAGAAAGCGCACGCTCCCATGCTGGCCAGGGCGAAGCTGCCCCCAGGCTCCAACCAGCGATGGTGTGTTGAGCAATCCTTGGTTGCTGGGTCGCACACTATTGCTTCCTGCTTGGGACATGGTGGAAGGAGGGAATGCAGCCAGCCAGGTTAGGGTCGGAGAAAGCGCAGGCTCCCGTGCTGGCCAGGGCAAAGCTGCCCCCAGGCTCCAACCAGCGATGGTGTGTTGAGCAATCCTTGGTTGCTGGGTCGCACACTATTGCTTCCTGCTTGGTACAAGGCCAGGATACAGGCAGCCGGAGGCGAGGAGGGAAATGTGAAGGAGAAGGGAGAGGAGGAGGGAGAGCAGAAAGGATTTCCGTTTTGAGGCTGCCTTGCTAGCAAGAAAGGATTACCATGGTGTCACAAACGCGGCCGGATTCGCCAGATGCACCAGCAGAGGCGGGCAGCGGGCTAGAAGAAACCCCATCCCACCCCACCCCACCACACCCCACCGCACCCCACCTTCCTCACCTGCTTGTGATGTGCGTAGAACATGAGAGGAGGCATGATGCCATACAGCACTGTCATGCCGTATGCGCCTGCTGCCTTGGGCACAATCAGCACCCACTAGGCATCCCTCCCAACCCACCTGCATTCCCCCCAACCCACCTGCTTTTGATGCGCGTAGAACATGAGGGGAAGCATGATGCCATACAGCACTGTCATGCCGTATGCGCCTGCCGCCTTGATTTGGATCGGCAATGACAGGGTGAGAGAAGCAACCCACCTGCTTGTGATGCGCATAGAACATCAATGGAGGCATGATGCCATACAGCACTGCCTGCTGCCTTGATTTGGATCGGCAATAACAGGGTGAGAGAAGCAACCCACCTGCTTGTGATGCGCATAGAACATCAATGGAGGCATGATGCCATACAGCACTGTCATGCCGTATGCGCCTGCCGCCTTGCTTGCCGCCACAAACGCGCCAGGGTTTGCCAAAGCCACCAGCAGAGGCGGGCAGAGGGCCAGAAGAAACCCTACCTCCCTCCCATGCGACCTCACAAACCCTAAACCGGTTCCCACGATATCTACAGCAGTAACTGCTGTCTCCTGCTGCTTCTGAGCTTGATTCCTTTGGCTTTTCAGGTCTATTCGCCCATGTTGTTCCTCGTTTCTCCTCTTGTCACCCACGCTTATCAACCCTAGCTGCTCTTCATCCCTCTTCTTGTCACCTGCACTGATCAATCCCAGTTGCTCCATGAAAAATTCAGCTAGGGCAAGTGATGTGCCAAGGAACGACGTTGCTACGGCAAGGAAAGAGAATGCGAGAACGACGGAGGATTGGAGCGGCGAGCCTTGCAGCAGGAGGAGGTTCAGTGGGTCTTGGAAGGGCGTGAAGAGCGAGTGAGGGAGTGAGGGAGTGAGTGAGGGAGCGAGTGAGGGAGTGAGTGAGGGAGCGAGTGAGGGAGTGGAGAGGGCGGTGGAGAGAGAGGAGGGGAGGGAGGAGGCGAGGTGGGAGAGGGAGGAGGAGAGAGAGGAGACGGCGGAGGAGAGGGAGGAGAGGGAAAAGGCACCGGCAGGAGCAGCAGCGGCGGCAGCAGCGGCCGAAGTGAGGGAGGAAGGGGAGATGGAAAGAGCTATGGCGTCCCATACTAGAAACATTGTAAGAGGTGCTGCACTCCCGATCACAATTGCCGCCCGAATCTTTCCCAGATTCGCGTCCAGATACGTGCAGATCACGGGAATCAAATCGTGGAAGACCAGCGCGAGGAAGATCACGGGGAGAGTGGTCGGCATTTCTGACCAATCAGCAACTGCCAGCTCATCCCAGTCCGCGATTGCCGCCCCTCCGCAGACCAGCAGGGTAAATATCCCCAGCAAACCAGCTGTCAATACCCGGTTAATGATATCCGCTGTTCTGGTGCTGCCGCTGTAGATTAAACCACCCAGCACCGAAAAGAACCCCACTGCACCCACCCAATTGGGCAGACCCGTACCAAACGCCAAAACTTCCCCTCCTTTTGCGAAATACGCGACTATAAGGGTGAAGGACAAAAACACGTATGCTACTGTAGCTACAGTGCCGCCCACGGGACCCAGAGTCGCCTCGGCCATGGTTCGGTACGACAGGACGTCCGAGCCTCGCTCAGGCTCTTGTTCCGAACCTGCAGCTCCGGTACTGCTGATGGTGCCGCTATTGCTGCTGCTGCTAGCGGTACTGCTAGTAGCCATGCTGCTGCTAACGGTGCTGCTACTAACGGATCGCTCCTTGATGAGAGCGACGTTGACTTCCGCCAGCAGCAATGCCTCAAGACACAGGAACGCCCAGCAGGCTATTAGCACGAACGACGAGGGGAACACACCCTGAGAAAACACATTCGAGAAGGGATGGGAGGAGAGGGAGGGATGGGGCCCGGAATGGGAGGGGGGGAGAGGGGAATCGGGAAAGTGGGAAACCGAGGGATGGGGGGAGCGATGCAGGCATATTCACTCCTGCAGTCTAGGGTGAGGGATGCAGAGGGATAGGAGTCTATATGGCTTATTCACATCCTCATATCCGCTCCCCCTCTCCCCCCGCCAACACCTCGCGCAACAAGCTTACCGCAGGAGCAGTTTCCGCGGGCAGCGCCAGCACACCCGCGCCGACGGATGTTCCTATAATGAGCGCCACGGCTCCGAGGATCGTGCCGCCCCCGCTTCTAGAACTCGCCGTTGCATCTTTGACAGGCGCCGCCCCCGCCGCGCTACTAGCTGCCCTGTTTGGCGGTGCGTCGCGCGAAAGTGGCTGACGAAGAGCTCTGTCGCTCTTATTGGAGCCGACGCGAAAGGCATCGTTTTCGTTAGTATCACCAGCCCCCTCGTCACCTGCACACATCGTCACGTGTCTAAACCCCCGGGTTAGCCGCCGTAAATTCCGCCGTAAGAACCTCGACTGGCCCTGCCGCGGGCCTCGCGGCCAGACCTTATCTTGCCGCGATTCCCGCCCCAACCAACACTGCGGTCGTTCAGCGGCAAGTACCGATTGCTGTCGACAAGATCGAGCCGCGGCGCTTGTAAGCTCACCGCCTGTACGCCGAGCCGTCGTATGCGTTACCGCGGCGGTAGATGAGGCCGGATCGCCACGTGGCATTCGCAGCTCTGGCGCGAAAATGTCGCAGCTGCTGCCACACCCCTGCGCGGCTCGTACTCGTAGACTATGCGACGTTTCAACCGTCGCACGACACGTTCGCATGCATCGCAGCGATCGATCGACGGCTCCGCATTTACCGCCGGAAATGCCGCCTGCGAACTCTAACCGCGCCGCATCCCGCGGGAGGCGAACTCCCGCCGTTGGGACCATCGAGGTCAACCGCACTGAATACGCCATCGCAGCCGGTTCGTTACACCCCGCTTGAATGCGACGCTGGCCGCAGCTAACCGTACTCAATCGTACCTAACCGTGCCTTGCCGCCAACTAGCCGCACCCTAAAGTGCGCAATGCCGAAAGGCACGAGCTAAGGAGTGTGAGTAGGAAAGCAGACGCAGCAGCTGGGTGAGCAAACAAAGGTGAGATAAATAACTTCGCACGTATTCTGTCGGCACTCAAAGTGGTGCAAGTCCAGAGAGAATGGAGGCTAGAAATGAGGTAATACATTTGGCTCGACTTCCGTTCGGTTGGCATGCTGTGCCGTGTGCTGTGTCTGTGTGTAGTGTACCGAATCCACTCAACTGGTCAGTCAGCGAAACGAGGTGGTTGCGTTGGCGGGAGCGCAGTTGCGGCCGCAAACGAACGAACCAGCGAGAAGGATTGTGCTTCCGCGCATCGTCGATTCGCCGCCCGAGTGTGTGGTGGAGTCTGCGAATCATCGAACGCGAAACAGCGTGTCTAATAGAGAAGACCTGCGATTCGTTGTCAAGGGATGAAAACGACATGGACGATTTAACAGGTTTCCCTGTCAAGCACAGATTTCTGGGTACATATAATGGACTTCCAAAGATTTGATTTGCAACAAGAACTTGCATTTTGGTGGACCTAAGTGTCTGAATAGATATTTCAGTTGGCACTTATCGAGGGTTGTAGAAAGGCCCAACAAATTCGCAAATTCATGGGCAGAACTCGGCAAACCCAACCATGTAAAAAAATTGCGGCAGAAATTAGCCACGTGTGACCACGTCATAAATCACTCCACGAAGGGGCCACGGCTCGAAGATTTCACGATGTCCATCGGAAAACGCTGGTCTACTCAGCACAAGTGCAGATTCAAAATATCCATGTCAGACTGGCGTGGCAGAGCATTCATGTCTGCCACACATCCATACCCACTACAGCCATGCCTTTTTAAGATTGTGCTTTTAAATCCCAAGATAAAGAAACCATGTACAATTAGTACGACTCCTTTAAGAGAAGGTATGGTGAAGTTTTTTAGTACCCCCTTACTGGTTCAGAGCCCGAATCAGGACCTCTCTATTAACTTCTAGAGACCCAACCCTTGGGCTAAGGGTGCTATCTCAGTCAACCCTCATCCAACCATACTTGTGTGGTTTCTACTTCAGTCGTCCAATCTCTGTCGCCTTCTAGGAGGGCTTTTGTCTCCTCTCTCCTCTCCTCCCCCATCATTCCCTCTCCTCGCTTGCTGAGATGCTGCTGCTACTGCCATTGCTGCTTCTGCTGCCGCTGCCGCTGCTGCAGCCGCTGCAGTGGGTGCCACTGGTCCTCCTCCTCCTCCTCCCGCTCCTCCCCTGCCTCCTGCTCCCCTTCCTCCTCCTCCACTTGCTCCTCTCCCCCCTCCACCCCTCCCTCTACCTCCTAGACTCATTCTCCCTCCTCCCCTTCCTCCCCTCCCTCCCCTCATCCCTCCCCCTTCCGCCCCAGAAAACTCGCCCCTCCCCATACCTCTCCCTTCCCCTCGTCCTCCGCCTCTCCCCCCACCTCTCCCCCCTCCTCCCATCCCCCCTCCTGGATGTCCCGGGCCTTCTCCCGGACCTCCCTGCCACCGAGCCTGCGGCGGAGGCATGGGTTCGTTCGGACCTCCCACCATGCCCCGAGGAGGAGGCTCGGGAAAACCGTGCCTTCGATCATCCAACAGCTCAGGAAAACCATGTCTTCCTGGGCCTCCAGGCTCAGAAAACCCCTGCCGTCCCGGACCTAGCGGTTCGGAAAATCTCTGCCTCCCTGGGCCAGGAGGCTCGGAGAATCCCTGCCTCCCCGGGCCTGGAGGCTCAGAGAACCCCTGCCTTCCCAAACCGGAAGCTCTGGGGAAGTGAGAGGGAGGGTTGTTGAAGTTTGGATTGTGTGGTGGAGGCGGCATGTGGGGGAGGTTGTGCTGATTGTGCTGCTCATGCTGCCCTACAAACTGAGGCTGAGAGGAGGGAGGGGGGCGTTCCTGAAATGACTGCCTATCCGGCAGCATTTGCCTGCTAGGAGGCGGCATGGGGGTGGCGGGATGGTTGGGAGCGTTGGGAGGGAGTGAGATGCGGTGCTGGGGAGCATGTGAGGGAGGGTGGGAGGAGGAGAGGGGAGGAGGGAGGGACGAGAAGTGCGGGTTTGCATGGGAAAAGGGGGGCTCGTGAAGGGGTGGCATGGGGTGGGGGGGGAGGGAGCCCTCTCGGGTTGAGTCTGGGTGTGAGAAGTGCTGTGGGGGTGGTGATGTTTGGTTGCGAGGGTGGGGGGGAGGGGGCGGGGGAAGGATGGGGAGGGCCCTGTCTCCCCTGGGGAGGATGGGGGCCGTGGGGAGCATGGGAGGGATGGGGGGCGTGTTGGGGATGGGGAGGATAAGGACTTGACTGGGGGGGATGGTTCGGGGGATGGGGAGATGAGTGGGAGGGGAGGGGGTGGAGCATGTGAGGGGGAAGGTGGGGGGATGGGTGAGAGGAGGGGTGTGGTTGGCCTTGAGAGGGGGGATGGGGTGAGGCATGAGGGGGATGAGTTGGAGGTCCATGTGGGGGACCATGAGGTCCAGAATGTGGTCCAGAGTGAGGCCCGGTGTGAGGCCCAGGGTGTGGCCCGGAATGAGGTCCGGAATGAGGTCCGGCGGACACGGATTGCCAGTCAGCATCGGGAAAGGCAGAGGTGAGTTGCTGGAAGAATATGCGGAGGAAGTGATGTAGCTCCACTGATACCTGTAAGGCACACGTTGAGGAGGCAGAGGAGAGGAGAGGAGAGGAGAGGAGAGGAGAGGAGAGGAGAGGAGAGGAGAGGAGAGGAGAGGAGAGGAGAGGAGAGGAGAGGGTAAGCAGTGAGTTGCTGGAAGAACGGGGGTGATTGGAAGGCAGAGGTGAGCTGCTGGAAGAATATGCGGAGGAAATGGTGTAGCTCCACTGGTCTGGTACCTGCCGAACGAAATGAAGAGAGCAGAGAAATGAGAAGCAGGAAGGCATTGGAGAAAGGGCTGCAGAGGAGAGGGTGAGAGAGAGGGCAAGTGGGGAGACTAGCGGCTAGCTGATAGAAGGAAATGAGGTCGAAACACGCTGATCCAACTGTGGCACTTCGTAACACAGGTTTGAATGACAATTTCTTACCTATTCAATCCCTACTAGCCTAAGCTCAGCCTAGAGGAGACTAGGACGGGTTAGGACCGTTGGATCCAGGTCTAAACTATCTTTCTATGCTACAAGAGGTTGAAACATGCCGATCCAACTGTGGCACTTCATAACATGCACCTCCTCCCCTCCTGGTCGCCTCGCCTCCACAGACCACCCTTTTACACTTTATTTCTTACTCCTCATCTCTCTCTCTTATTCCGCACTCTCACCTCTCGGTTGCCCTTGTGCCATCGCAGGTACCTCCACAACCCAAAGCTGTAAGACTTCTGAACTCCTCTTCTCTCCTCTCCTCTCCTCTCCTCACCTCACTTCCTCACTCACCTCTCGGTTGCCCTTGTGCCATCGCAGGTACCCCTCCACAACCATCCGAACCTCTTCAAACACCTGCACCACCGATTGGTACCCCCCTGAAAACAACCTCTCCTCCACGCCTCCCATCGTCAACCCCATCCCCTCCATCTCCCCTCCTCCCCTTCCTCCTCCTCTCCCTCCACCCCTTCCTCCTCCTCTACCTCCTCTTCCTCCACCTCCCCCGCTCCTTGCGCTGTCTTGACTTGCCGATTTATCTAACAAGTAATCTCCGATCCTCTCCCCTCTGCTATCCAGAGAGGCATTAAACTGCATTAGCATGTCTGCACATTTCCGAACCGCAAGCCCGGCTGGAGGCCCGGCAGCCGGCGGAGGTCCGGGCCGAGGTGGTCCGGCAGAATGGGTTGGTCCACCGGGATGCATAGGTCCGGCAGAGCGGATAGGTCCCCCAGAGTGAATAGGTCCGGCAGGAGGTCCGGAGGGGAGTGAGTGCTCTGTGAGATGCCTTGGTCCGGAAGGGGGCATAGGTCCGGCCGAACCAGAGATAGGTCCGGCAGAATGAGGAGGCAGGGAAGTGGGGTGAGAGGATTGGTGGGAGGAAGCAGAAGGGTGATTGGGATGCAGTTGCGGTAATGGTGGGGGGGAGGAAAAACCGGTCTCTCTTCTCTCCCCCATCCCTCTTCCCTCTCTCATCCCTCCTCCCTCTCTCATCCCCCCTCCCTCTCTCATCCCCCCTCCCTCGCCCATCCCTCTTCCGTCCCTCATCCCGCCTCCCTCTCTCATCCCGCCTCCCTCCCTCATCCCCCCACCCCCACGTGCTGCTGCTGCTGTGCCGAACCTACCTCCTCCTGGTTCCCTCCCCTCTTCTGAACCTGACCTGAAGCCTGGAGGGTTGCCGAACCTGTCATCCCGAGCCTCGTTCCTCTCTGTCCTGTCTCCCCAAACCTCACCCTCACCGAACCTCTCATTCCGAACCTCACTGCCACCGAACCTGTCCCTCTCATCCCTCCCCTGGAAACCCCTCGGTGTTGAAACCCCCCTTCCAGGAAATTCCCCTCCTCTTCCCCCCTGCCCTCTTCCTCCCTCCTGTCTCCCTCCCCCTCGCCCTCCCCTCCCCACTCCCTCCCTCCCCCCTCCTCTCCCTCCCCCCCTTCCCGCCCTCCCTCCTCCCCTCCCTCCTTCCCTCCCCCTTCCTCGTCCTCTACCTTCACCACTCCCCACTGCACTCAACCGCACTGCACTCTCTGGTGGGGGCCCAGGAGGTGGGGGTGGTGGCGGCAGCAATTGTGGCCCTGCAAAACCAGCACCAGCAGCAGCAGAAGAATCCGAACCAGCAGCAAAACCAGCACGAGCAGCAGAACCAAAACCAGAAGCAGAAGCAGAGGCAGAAGCAGAGGCAGAGGCAAGGGACATTCTTGGTGTTGGCAGCGGTGGTGGTGGCGGTAATGGTAAACGGTCAGCCAGACCTCCCTCTCCCTCTCTTCCCACTACAGTCTCCTCCTGAATCTTCCACACCCATTTTCTTTTCCCACCTACCAACATCTCGTCTCTCTCTCCCCCTCGCTCCCCTCTGCCTTCTTGCATTCTCACTCCTCTTCCTTCCAGCTGATTACGATTCACCTGCCATTGCTCCTGTCCCACCTGCATTGCACCCTCCTCCTTCATCTCCCCTTCCTCCCCCCTCTCCCCTTCCTCCATCCCCTCTCCCCACTCCCCTCTCCCCTCCTCCCATCCCTCCTCTCTTCCCCACTCTCTCTCCTCTCCCTCCTCCCACTCCCCTTCCTCTGCCTCCCCTTCCTCCCTCTCCTCTTCTCCCACCCTCTCCCCCTCCCTCACACCCTCTTGCAACTCTCCCTTTCTCAATCCTCCCTCACTTCCTCTCCTCTCCCCTCTCTCACTCCACTCCTTCTCCCAAGACCCTCCCTTTTCACCCCTACCCACCAAGCCTACTCCAATCCCCATCCCACCATCCTTCCCCCTCTCTCTACCACCATCACTCTCCGCGTCTCTCTTCCCCCTCCCTTCCGCTTGACCTTCCTCCCTACCCTTAGAGTCCTGCCTTGGAAAAACCATCATCCCACCATCCTTCCCTCTCTCTCTACCACCATCACTCTCCGCATCTCTCTTCCTCCTTCCCTCCTCTCCCTCTTCTTGAGCATCCACCCTCCTTTTCCTCGCCCTCCCTTCCTCTTCTCCTTCCTCTCTACCCTTAGAGTCTTGCCTAGGAAAGGCGTCACCACTCCAAGGGTGCTGGCTTGGGATTCGATTCACAAGCTCATCTCTACCCTTAGAGTCTTGCCTCGGAAAAACACCATCGCTTCCCCGCCTCCTCCCTCCCACTCCCTCCTCCCCCTCTACCCCCTTTACTCCCCTTTCTTGCTTCCGCTCCTCTCCCCGCCTCTCCTCTCCCCGTTCCCCACCAACTCCCGGCCTTTCCCTTCGTTCCCTGCTTTCCCTGCTTTCCCTGCTTTCCCTGCTTTCCCTGATTTCCCTTTCCTCCCTGTCTCTCTTGGCATCAGTCAACATCCCTCTGCTATCTTTACTCCCCTCAGCACAAACCCTCCTTACCGTCTCCTCGCTTCTCTCACTCTCCCTCCTCTCCCTCCCTCTGCTCCTCTCCCGCTCCCCGTCCCTTCCCCTTTCCAACTGCCCCTCCTCTCCTCGTCTCTCATGCTCCCTCCTCTCCTTATTCTCCCTGCTCTCTCTCCTCTCTCTACTCTCCCTATTCTCCCTCCCATCCTCGCTTCTCTCTCTACCATCTAAGGCTCGATGCTCCTGCTTACCTCTATCCATCCCCACACCAGCAGCAGTACGATCCCCCCTATCCTTCTCCTCCCCTCCCACCCTCCCCTTCTCACTGACCCTTTCCCTCCCCCTCTCCCACACCCCCTCCCTCACCCCCTCTTTCTCCCCCTCTCTCTCCACTCCCTTTTCTCTCTCCCTCTCTCTGCCTCGTTCCCTCTCCCTCTCCCTCTCCCTCTCCCTCTCCCTCTCCCTCTCCCTCTCCCTCTCCCCCTCCCTCTCCCTCTTCCCTCTCGCTTTCTCTCCTTCCTCCCCCTCTCTTTTTCTCTCCTTCTCGCTTCCTCTAGACCTTTCCCCCTCTCTCCTTTCCCCCTCTCTCCTTTCCCCCTCTCTCCTTTCCCCTTCTCTCCTTTCATCCCTCTCTTCTCCCTTTTTATCCCCCACTCCTTCCCTCTCCCTCTCCCTCCCCCTCTCCCTCTCCCTCTCCCTCTCCCCAGCCCTTCCATCCCCCTCTCTTCTGTCTCTCTCCTTTTCATCCCTTCTGCCTCTCACCTCAAACTCCTTCCTCTCCTCCTTACTCCTTTCCCCCTTCCTTCTCTCCTCGCTCCTCCTCTCCTCCCTCCTCCTCCACTCCTCACTCCTTTCACGCACTTCCACCACCCTCCTCCCCTCAACCACCACCCCATCACTCCCTTCCCTAGCCCTGACACTCTCCCTCCCTCTCTCCTTCTCACTCGCCCTGTCCTCATCCCTCTTCCTAGACTCACTACTCAAACCAAAAGCAGTTTCTTTGTTTCTCTCCCCCCCCCCAACGCCCTCCTCTCGCTCTCTCTCCCCTCCTTCCACCCCTCTTTCTACCCACTCCTCTCCCTTCGTTCCCTTCGCATCTCCCTCATCCTCTCCACCTTCCTCCTTCCTCTCTTGTCCCTGCTCTTCCTGCTCACGACTCCCCCCACCTGCCCCACTCTCAGCCTTGACCTCTTCTGCAGCCTCTCCCTTCCTCTCTCCTGCTCCTCCCACACCAATCTTGCCTTTCGTTTGTTTCTCCCCAAAACGGCCATCCAACACTTGAGCTTCTTTCTTATCACTTTTCATGACATCGCCTTTCACACCCCACTCTAGCCGCTGCTCGTCACGCCCTGCCCAACCCTCCCTCCTTTCACCATCCTTCCTCTCATCCAACCGTCCCCTTTGCTTCTCGTCCCTCCCTTCCTCCTCCATTACCTTCTGCTTTAAATTCCCCATATAAGCAGATTCTTCCCTATTAGCATAACCTTTCGAAACTTCATTAGGAAACTGTACTCCTCCGCTGCCTCCCAACTGTTTCTCACTTGCTCCCCTCTCCTCCCTCTCCTTCCTCTTCTCCCTCTCATCCCTCTCGTCCCTCTTCCTCTCCTCCCTCCTCTCCCTCTCTTCCGTCTCTAATTTGCCACCTACACTCTCCCTTCCACCATCCCCTTTCTCCCTCCCCATTTGCTCGTCCTCCTTCTCCACACCATACCCCTCCTCACCCATCCCCACACCTGCATCATCCCCAGTTTGCACACCATCCCTCAACCCTTCACCATCCACAATAGGTCCCCCACTGCTGCTGCTGTCACCAGCATCACCACTGCTACTGCTACTGTCGCTGCTGTCACTGCTGCGATCGCTACTGTTTTCACTGCTGCTGCTGCTTGTACCTTGTTTGCTGCCGTCTCGTCCCTGCTTCTCACCCTCACCACTCCTCTTGCTGCCAGTTCCGACGCCCATGCTGCTGCTGTCACTACTGCTGCTCTTGCAAGGTTCTTCACTTTGTTTCGCCCCTTTCACAAAAGTTCCTCCTGCCTCTGCTTCCTCTGCTTTCTCCCTCACCTGTTGCTGCTGCTTCTCCCTCACCTGTTGCTGCTGCTTCTCCCTCTTCTCCTCTCTCTTCTCCTCTCCCTTCTCTGCGCTCTCTTCCGCTCTCTCCTCCACTCCGCTTTCCCCTTCCCATGCCATCACAGGCAGAAGCAATTTCTCCCCTCTCCTCTTCCCTCCTTTCAGCATCTCTGCTTCAGTAAAACCTCCCCTCTCAACACCTCCTGCTCTCCCTGCCACTGTTCTCTCCCTTTCCTCCTTCCCCCTCTCCTCCCTCTCCCTCTCCCCCTTCCTCTCCCTCTTCCTCTCCAAATTCTTCATACCAGCAGCACTCTGCTGGTGGCCTGAGAGGCTCCTGCTCCTCCGCACACCCCAACCAGCACTTACCAAAGCATCATGCCTATCCTTCTTCCTGCGCCCTCCACCCCTCCCGGGCAGCAAAATCCTCCTCCGTCTCTTCAGTTCCCCACCCTCCCCGTCTGCTCCACCTACCCCCTCTTCCTCTCTCTCCCTTTCCCCCTCTCTCACAATCTCTCCTCGTATCTCTCCTTCTCCCTCTCCTACTCCTTCTCCTCCCTCTCCTCCACCCCTCTCCCTTACAGTATATCCTCCTCTTCCCTCCTCTCCTACAGCCAACTTTGGCAAGCCTTCCGTCCCAGCCTTCCCCACCACTCCCTCCACTTCCCTTTCTCCCTCCACTTCCCTTTCTCCCTCCACTTCCCTTTCTCCCTCCACTTCCCTTTCTCCCTCTATGTCCTCTTTTCCCACCCGTCTCACCCCTCCCAGTCCTCCAACCCCTTCTGCCCCTCCCGCGCCTCCCTTTGCATCTTCTTGTGCCACCAAACCCAGTTTCCTCTTCCTTCCTCGCTTCCTCCCTGTACCAGCAACAGCAGCACCAGCAGCATCAACACCAGCACCAGCACCAGCACCAGCACCAGCACCAGCACCAGCACCAGCACCAGCACCAGCACCAGCACCAGCACCAGCACCACTAGCATCAGCAACAGGACCACTCATTTCCTTATCCACCTCAAGGCCCCTCCTCCCCCTCCAATCCCCTTCCCCCACAAGAACCTCTTCCTTCGCTTCTCTTCCTCTTCCCATCTTCTCCTCAACCACCTTCCCCTCCTTCCTCTGCTCATCCCTCACACGCTCCTGAACCAACCAGCTCTCTTTCCCTCTCTTCTCCTCCTCCTCCTTATCATCCTCACCCTCTTCTCGCTTCCTTTCCTCTCTCCTCACTTGCCCCCTCTCCTTCTCCTCTCCTGTCACTAGACTCGCTACACTCCTCTTCTTGCTCACCCTGGGACTTGGGAGAACAGCACGCGACTCTTTAAGAGCCGACTCGCTATAAGCCTCGCCCTTGGACTCGTTATTATACTTGCTCTCGATCTGCAGCTCGCGTTTAGAAGCAACAACTCGCGGAACCCGAAACGGCTCTACCTGTATTCCCGCCCTAGCTGTTCCCTCCTCCCCTCCCTCCTCCCCTCCGTCTTCCCCTCCCATCACTCCCTTATTCCCTCCCTTCCCTCCCTTCTCTGCCTCCCCTTCCCTCCCACCCAGCATACGAATCTCCCCAGGCGTTTCCCCCTCGCCCCCTCCCTCAACCTCCACCCCTTTATCACCCCTTCTCTTCCTCTCCGCTTTCTCTTTCCGCTTCGCCTTCGCCCCCTCCTTCCCAGGCACCATCCCCTCCTTCCTCACAGCTTCTCTGCCTTCCTTTACTTGCTCCTTTGCATCCTTCTCTCCCTCCTGTACTATCTCCACTCCCCTCCCGCGCTCTGCTTCCCGCTTAATCTTCTCCTCTCGCCCCTCACCCCTCCACCTCTCCTTCCCATCCTTCCCCTCCTTCCCTTCCTTCCCCTCCTCCCTTTCTTTCCTCTCTTTCCTCTCCTCCTCCTCACCCATCCTTTCCTTCCTCTCCCTCCCATTACTCCTAATCTCTCCTCCACCCACAATCCCCTCCTGCTCTCCCTCCTGCCACTCAAACCCACTCGTCTTGCCGTGACCGCTACTGTGCTTGCGCCGATGGTGGTGGTGGTGGTGCCGGTGCTGGTTCTTCTGCTCCTTCTCCTTCGCCTGCCCTCCTCTCTCCTGCTCTCCCCTCCCCTGCTCACCTCTCTCCTCTTCACCCTTCTCCTTCTTACCCTTCTCCTCAGCCCTTACCTCTTTCCTTCCAGCACCAACCCCTCCCATCCCCGCCCATCCTTCCCTCCCCTCCTCCCCCACTCCACCTCTCTCCTCCCTCTCATCCCCTCTATTGAGCTCCTCACGGAGTCCCTTTAAGAGCTTCAGCCTGCCGTCACTTCCCTTGGAAAGCTTAAACCTGCGGCGTTCCTTTCCCCCTCGCTTTCCCTCACCAGTTAAGTCCTCTACATCATTCCTCAGCTTTGCATCTTTCCTAAGCCCTGCACCTCCCACCCCATCTCCCATCATCTCCCCTTCCTCCACCCTTTCTTCATCTTCCATCATCTCTTTATCTTTCACCCTCTTTCTATATCCCCTCTTCCGCAACTCTTTCCCTCCGTACCCTCCTCTTCTCCCCCCCCTCCCCTTCCTCCCCTCCTTCACACCCACTCCTACTCCCGCAAACTCCCCACCATCTTTCCCAAGCCTCTCACTATCACCCTCCACCCATATCCCTTCCTCCTCCTCTTCCTCCTCATCCTCTTCCAAAACTACCTCCTCCTCTACCACCCCTTTTACCCTCCTCTTACCCTGTTTCTCAACTCCTTCCTCCTCCCCTTCATCCGCCTCCTCCCCTTCACCCCCCACCTCCCCCCCACCACTCTCTCTCACCCAACGAACATCCGCTCCTTCTCCCTCCTCCTCTTCCTCCTCTTCTGCTGCTACTCCCTCTTTTCCTTCCACACGCTCCCATCCTTCTACCACCTCTTGTTCTTGAGAATTCTCAAAAACCTCCTCACCCTCCTCTTCATCTTCCTTCCCCAACAAAATCTTATCCCCCATTGCCTCTGCTCCTCCCTTGTCCTTTTCCTCACCCCCTCCCTCCTCTTCCCCATCAATCCCCCCATCAAATTCCTCATCCCCCACAATCATTCCCTCCTCCTCCACCTCCCCTCCCTCCCCCCTGTCAACACCTCTACCCCCTCTCCCTCCGCTCTTGAACTCCCCTTCCTCCTCTTCCTCTTCCTCTTCCTCCCCTCCCACTTGCTCCCCCTCCTTCCACCCCTCCACCTCCACAGGCTCGGCCGAACCTCCTTCCGCCCCTCCCTCTTCCGAACCTGACGCCTTCCTCCGTTTCCGAAGCGCAGGCTTGGCAGTCGTAGCAGCAGCAGCCGCCACCTGCTTCGAATTAGCCCTCAGCCAAGGAACCACCTCCCAAGCCTCCTCAACCAATCCCGGCCATTCCTCCTCCTCATCCATCCTATCAAAGAGCGCCAGCTCGTCGTCCCCTCGGGCAATCATCCGGTTTACCTCGCGCATGGAGGGTACATCCGGAACCGCCTCTTGGTACCGCTCTACATCCTTCAGCAGAGCTTCTAAAGTCATCCGCCGCTCCTCCTGTGTCGTGCGTTGGTCGAACCGGCCTGCGTTGATCACTTCATCTGCCATTTCAATCTTGTGCTGCTGTATCTTGGTGCGAACTAGCGTCTCTATAGATCCTATGTACCGTGATCCACCCCCACCCCCTTTTTCTCCTCCTCGCCCTCCTCCTTCCCTTCCTCCTCCCCTTCCTTCTCCTCTTCCCCCTCCCCTTCCTCTTCCCCTTCCCCCCCTTCCTCTTCCCCTCCCTGCTCCAGTTGACTGAGACGTTGGTGATTGCACCAACCCATCCTCCCTCTTCCTCTTCCTCCACCTCCCCTCTCTCCTCCCCCCCACACCTCCCTCCCCATCCCCCTCCCCCGCTCCCCCTCCTCTACTCTCAATCTCATCCTCTTTACAGTGCGCTGCAGTAACCTCTGTAACTGCCTCGAGATACATCACCAGCACCTCTCTCTTCTGTCCAATCCTATGTGCCCGTGCTACAGCTTGCTCCTCATTCTTAGGATTCGGATCAGGATCATATATCACAACCGTATCCGCACTCTGCAGATTCAGCCCCCGCCCCGCCGCCCGGATACTCAGCAAAAAGACAAAATGCTCCGACCCAGGCTTGTTAAACTCGCCAATCGCAGCCTCCCGAGCATCCAACGGTGTAGATCCGTCGATCCGGCAGTAGCCAAGCTTCCTCCACCGTAGATAGTCTTC